TGATGTGCTAAGACGTGGAAGATGACAAAATGCATGATAGCAGCGATGACAACGCGCGCAGAAGACCATTAAACCCGGGCCCAGGCAGACAGCGCAGCCGGAAGCCCAACCGTTGGTGCAGAAGTCCACGTCCATATCATGTTCCCCTGAGGGGGAGGCAGGGCGGTCTAAGTCCCCCAAGTCCTCTTCGTCCGCCGTGCAGCAGCCTTGATCGCTTTCACCTCCACTGCTAAGGTTCTGCGAATCAAATGTGAACGGTATATAAAGATGGTAGAATTGGGCTTGGGCGAGAAGGAAACCCAAACAATACAGCCATATAAAATGTGATGTAGAGGTTTGACGTTAAACAAGTCCAAACTACCCAGGGCAGTAGTGGAGTGCTGTATTGAAAATCTTAAGCATGTAAGGCGTTTGTGAATTCGAAATTTGAGTCTGACTTTCAAACAGCATGAAGAGAGAGAGAGAAAAGGACATCTGTTTCACATTACCCCGGGGAACAGTCGCCAGACTTTCGCTCAAGTCTTGTTGTATTTTTAATAAGTACGAACGAAATCGCAAATACAATGTACTAAGCAAGAAACAGGTAAACCTGTCACGTGTATTTAAACGCGTGTACAAGAGTATATCTGTTTCCCATGCACGTTTGGGCTCAAAAAGTTGCACTAATATTAAGAAAATAAACCAAAAATCGAAACAAAACGCATATTCTGTCGCTCTCTTGTACAGAACGCAAACAGTGACATCTGAGCAGAGAAAAATGTAGTAAAAACTGCACACTACGAACTCGCTAATTGCAAAAATTTGCAGGGCAAAGCTGATAGTTCAGAAATGGAAGCCCAACAGCCATTTTATCTTTCCACAATTACCGAGGAACTTGGTTAGATAATGTTTAAATGGATAAAGTTGTGAGATATGAGTCCTAACTTGTCCCTTAGAGTTTCATTAGACGAAACAGGTGGCCTTTTATAATCATACTAAATAAAATGCCAGAAAAAAAATGATCGGAAATCCCTTCATAGTGGTGCAGACGTATTGCAGCCGAAACGCAAGACGCCACCGGGAACGAACTCTTGGCATTCGATACTATTATGCGAAACATTCCTCCCGGCCTCGATTGCCCAAAATCATACAGCAAGCAGTCTTCATCGGTAAAATGTGGAAGTCAGCGCCTCCATGACGAATCCTATATTCTTGCAAAACTAAGATCCGTGGCCCAGATACCGTCTGACCCATTAACACAGTAATCCAGACACGGTGTGAAGATCGCACTCTTTCAACAAGCTAACCCTGCATTGCTTGCGTGAAGACTATTCAATGGTCAGCTGGCCTACGTAAGACTAACAGGACAGATTATTGACAATTCCGTCATTTCTACGTACCTGTCAATATCCTCTGCTAGATAGCTCCGCGAAGAAG